GCCAAACTCGTTCTACATCAGTTGGTGAAGCGGGCAGGTGACAATACAGTATCATATCGTTCGCATTACTCGTTTTCTACCACTTTTTATCGCATGCGCGTTTTAACAAGAAGGCAGGAAACCTTGACGCTGTGCACACTCATACTGGCTGACACGCCCAACCGTCCGCAGAGAACTATAGTGTACTACATACAAGGTTCGTTTGAGAGCTTTGCAATAATGTGATCGCTGAAGCGGTCTTGTTGGACGCCGCCTCAGCTGGACTACCAATTTCGTCACTGACAATGAGAGCCATTATGTGGCTTATACAATGATCTGCGGGAGCCAGCCAATGTACAAGTCAGTGTTCTGATCCAGTTTATCGTACTCGTAGGGCTTGGTTGACCTGTACAGAGTAGACCGGGGATTTGCCGCGCGCCACTTGTCACTGCACCACCTCCGCCTCCATTGTTTCGATACCTCTTCGAACATGAGCTTCCTGTATCAATGGGCAGGTCATATGGGATCTTCGCTCGATGAGGACTCACACAGCTTACCCAGACGTGGCAGTTTCCCACGGAACCATGCATGACATTGTTGCAGACAAGGGGGAATCCATTGCATAGGAAAAGAAGCTCGCAAGCTGTTGAACCGAGCGTGGACCGTCAAAAAGAGCAGTGACTAGTCAACCGCCATCCTCAGGCTCTACTCGATAGAGGAATCTGCACTAATGCATTAGGGGAACAAGGAAAAGACGGTAGCGATTTGTCGCATCGCCGCGCGCGACGGATTACGCGGCCACGCGCGGCGACTTCTCCATGGGCGTCACTTTTTCGACCGGAGCACCAAAACATGGGCGTGGCTCGCGCGGCCGCCAGTACTGGCATATTACGATTACCTTATCACCTACCCATGCTGGTAGAATATGGTGGTATTCACCTTACGTTCGTACCAATTGACAAAATATGGTGTGTTGGGTTGCGGAGAACTGCAGACACTGCGTTCCAATAGCGGCCTAAAAGCGCGTTCAGACTTTGCGATCGCGTGATCCAGTTCGCGCGAACATATAATATAGCAGTCCCCAGCCGACAAGTGTCAAAGCTATTTCCTTCTATGCGACAAGGTCTCCTCATAAAAGCCGCTCTTCAGCGGGTCTAAGCCATGTCATGGCTGCTCGTCTGGCCTTCGCATGGAGACGCGTGATATCTTCTTACCCGGTATTTTTCGAATAGCTATGCTCCTCTCTGACTGCAATTGTCTAAGAACATGACAAGAGTATGTCTCGCTGGAGAGTGGCTCTTCCCGAAACACAGCGCTTGTTGAAGTATCCGTCTTCTGAGGCTACGTCATGGTTCGCGACTCGAGCCATTCAGTCGCGCGATTTGGGAGGTGAGCGGCTGCGAATAACCACGCTCCGACGCAAGTCGTTAGGCCTCTGCACTGCTAAGTTAATCACCGCCAACTGAAGCTTACTGGAAACTTTGCAGCAGTTGACGGTTCAGTTGTCGTTGTCGCGCGAGCGAATCGTTCGAAACCCGAACTACGAGTGCTGCGTGAGACTCCGTTCGTACTTTGCCGGCAGAGTTCACCATCGTTCCAGCAGGGTCCGGGAGTGGAGTGTATGGTGCAATAAGAGGGTAGCAGACAGCTAGCAGAGAGCGATGGGAAGATAGCAGGTGCTGGTAAAAGTATAGCAGATGCTGGCACCTCCTGTCGCGCAATACTTTACACTCCTGGACTCTAGTGAATGCTGGTGGACACTGGCAGACGCTGGTGGACGCTGTCGCCAAGTATGAACGCAGCCTGAGAGAGAAAGCGCTCATTTCTCATTTCGATCTGGTTTTCAGGGTCTAAAATGTCCAAAAAGGTGTTCATTCTTTTGGTGAGTACATTTTGAAAATGGCATGCATTTGTTGCAGATAAAATCAATAATGTAGTTCATTGGCAAAACCTTTTCAGCTGATTGCTGCGATTGTTCATGACGCCGCTTCTAATGCCGTGGAAAGGTTCAAAAGGTCTGGTAGGTAACAGTTTCTTAATAGAACTGGGCGATCTCAGTATGAAAGAGAGTTAGGCCGGAAAGGGTCAGTGTAACTTTCAGGGCCGATGTGGGGAACTAGTTCATGTTCTGGAGCCATACGTTATGCTTCCTGCTCAGGAGAGCGATCCCCGATTGATCGATTGCATCCCCCTTCTGTGCTCGTCCCATGCTACATTCCGCGAAGGTCTGCGTCGCGCCAGTCACTAGCATAAGAGACTTCACCTTCAGGGATGAATGTGGTACCCTGATGTCACTCTAATCCTCTTTTTGATTGTCCATCCAGGCAATTCTGCAGTATCGAGAAGGAAACGGGATTTTTTTGGGAAGCTAAATGAAGCTGTTGCAGTTTGACAAAACGTCCGCCCCGTTAGGAACTAGATAATGTTTGATTACATAGACGACATCTGCTGAGCACTTTGTACCTCGGGAGGAAAGAGCGTGCACTTTCACGTGAGCCTTTTGGGAGACAGCGATTTTTTTAGGGAAGCGGGGTCCAGAGCGAGTGAGCCACTTCGTACATTTCAGTTCCTGGCAAATATTAGGTGATTCATATGGGATTAGTTCAAATCCCTACAGGGCACATAATTATTAAGTTGTCCCAAAAGTTCGTGACATTTTCGAACTTTTTTCGAGTTAAGTTTATTCCAATGAGAAGCAATTTTGATCAACAATATATATGTTACCTTCATCGACAACTTGTTGCCAACCACCAAGCAGAGAATGGTTGCCTTGCTTCCAGAAGCTTTTTGGTTCCGTGCCGAGAAAGGCGGCTGGGTCATTTTTGAGGTGCTTTTGAAAATCGTATTTTTTTACCCAGAAGATGGCCGCTGAGGGATTAGTTTGAATGGCATCAGAAAGAGCTGTGTCAATGCTACATGAAGACCGTGGTGGGATTCACCAGCCAAGCCTCAATATCTCGAGCAGTGTCATTTTCCAAATTCGTAACCGTGAGCTGTGGTGGAGTAGGCACATATTGCTGGGCTGTGGAACCAAATGGTGCGGTTTTTCATTCAATTGCAGTTGACTACAGTAGGGTTTGTTGGTTACCACAGCGGTGAGAGTACGAAATTCCCTCGAAAGAGAGAGGAACCCCATCACATACACACTCACCCCCCCCCCTGCTGGATTCATAGGATTGCACGACCGATTCTCCCTCCTATCCAGTTACAACGTTGTTCAACCAGTCCATACGGTGGAAGCGGTGGCGAAGATTGTAGGCAGTACCCACATGCCCTCCCCCTTGAGTACCGGTCAACTCACGAGAAAAATTTTGACCGAACTTCACTACTTTTATAAGAAGCTAGGCCCTCTGCCATTTGTGTCATTGGAACAGTCAGATAGTGAGTTGATTTGTACGAATTGGTGATCAAGGAGCGCAGTAAGTCCAAGTCCATGGCAGGTGGCCTCTCTGGACGAGGTTCCCCTCCGAAGCCACTTAAGCGAAATGATCGGGCCATCCCAAGGCCGTTCTGTGGAAGGTACCATTAGGACTGACTCAGAGAAATGCCGCTTGTGGCTCCAACCACATTTTGGCTTGGTGGAGATTCATATAGTGAAGTATGTCGAAAATGATGAGTTCCATCTACCGTTTTGGATGTGAGAACAGCGACTGCGAGGGACTGAAGCCACTGTGGAATGCTTACTTAAACTATTGTCCATAGACCACATAACTGGATCATGGAATGGTTGCGGAAAGATCTCATGAAACTCAAAAAATGGTCACTAACTTTTGGGACAATCTAATAGTTGGGATTAGTCGGTCTGCAGGACCCTTCTGGTTCCCTCCTCATCTAGCTGTCGTGCGTGGGGGTAATAGGGGTAATACGACACCCCTCTACCATTTTTTAGACTGTCCCTCACTTCCTAACACTTTTCCGAGAATTTCCCAAGAACCAGAAATTTTGCTATCGATTGGGGGAGGGGTATATAGTACACATGAAAGAAAACCACAATATCGACGGCCTCTCCCAGAAAGTCCAGAAGCCAAATACGACACCCCCTGATGGGGAATCCTCAGTAACTGTGCCCTGGATCCCTACCCTACCCCATCCATTTAAATATTGCAGGCATTTGATCAGGAGAATTTTGTTGTTGTAGCCAGGTTGTAATGGTTGGGGTGTTAGCTGTTTCGTTGTGCTGAGCTGTGATTCTCGTGTCTGAGGTTTCAACGTCTTTTTTTCAGTGGCTTATGGACTTTGCCCTAGGCAATGTGAAGCGAAGCATTGTTCAGGCGAATGTACTTTTCGCTTGGGGTCATGAAGGGGACTGCAACTATGCCCAGTGTCCAATATATTAAAAAAATAAATGGTTTATGAAGGATTTTCAACTGAAAAAGAGCATAGTAAACACGCTGTGATTAGCCCCAAAAATTCTGTGACTGTGCCGGATTTGCTCTGATTCCGCACAAGAGTTTGGAGATGAGCATTTTCTCCACTGTCACTCCCAGAACCAGAGCTCGTCTGGACATGACCTCCTCAACGCCCACATCGCTTTCAACCAGAAGGCAAAGGGCATTCTAACGTGTATTTGAATTGATATCTAATTTCCAAGAAGTTGTCAGAGTTTCGAAAATCTAACTTCAGCACAATCGATCGCTTACATTTGGTAACCCCATACCTGGATATCCAAAAGGGACCCTAAAAACCCCTTGAAACCGCAAAGAAACCATGAACATCCCCACTCTAGCACAATCGTAGTGATAGCATAGTAACATGTACCACATTGGCACAAGATTTTATGGAGAAAACCCCGGTATGAGTGCCCGGATTTTTTTTTACAACAATCTCTATGGTTCACTTTCTCGAACATCTCTGTCCAATTAGTCTACTTTGAAAGTCTCAAATTTCCTCGCACCAGGAGCCGCTTCCTCCAAGTCGAGCATCGACGGCACAACAGTGGCCATGTTTCAGTTTCATTTGAAGACAGAAGTAAAAGAGGAAAAGACGAGAAAACAGCAACAATTTATTGATAACAACAAAATTCAGAACACCATCTTGTGAGGATACTGCCTCTTACCCAACATGAACCGCGATCCTAAGTAACCGAAGAGAGCTTTATGTTCAGAGTTTTTCTTGATAACGGCCAGGATAGGTTTGTCAATGGCTTTCTGGTCAGTTTTCCTCTGCTCGGTGACATAAAATACAGACTTTCCTTCAATATCAAGGAAAAAAAAGCATCAAGCACTTCGAGACGACAACTGAACAACCCCGCAGATAAGAGAATACTGTACAAAAACAGACCTGATATTCAACCTCTCCAAATATTCTCTCCCTTCTTGCCTAACAACTTCTTTCGCCTGAAGAGATCGGTTGATGTGGCCCGGAATCATCACACCAGATACATCGAGCCTCTCCTTGGTGGCAATGATGAAGGCTTGAGCGATTATTCGCCGAGGGAAGTTATTCACTTTGTGAGGACCTGAAAGCCATAAATTCGAAGATAAGACCTGCAAATCAACCAGTCTCCGGAACCATCCAAAGAGGCGAAATCCAACTAATACGAGACACCACTTCTAGATCTCTCAAAGATTTCATTATAACAACTCCTTCCAAAGCCAATGCACTACTATTCGCCCTGTTTCTTCCCACAAGAACTTGTAGCGCGGTGCTGCGGCAAAAACG